CTGTTTTAATGGCAGCGAGGAGTGCTAGGCACACAGTAATGTTTCTTTAATCTGCAGATTTCATGTTAAGAGAAATAGTTTTAGCAAGAACATCAACGATGCGCACTTACTTTGATATTGTGGCAGACACTGCTGGATTCGGTGGTCGAACGGTCCACTGGCAAGTTTAAATAGGTCCGAATATATTAGCCTACTTCACAACCAAGGCTGCACGGAGGTGTTTTTCACAAACATTCAGAACATTATGAAAATAGCATTGTGATTGAAGGATAGAATCTGAAGCAAACGATAAGATTTGCACGTTTCTTTTTTATAATATTTTGTCAGTGACGCCGCGTCAGACAATTATGTACACTTATTTACACACATCGTATTTCTGATTCAACTATAGCCTATTTAAATATCCTAAAATATTTAATTTATTTAAAACAATTATATACTGCTTTGGCCAGTGGAAAAGAAAGAGATCCACTCTATTCTAATAAGATTCTCTGAGAGGTATTTTATAAAATTTTGTTTTTACATTCATTTTGATATATTTATTCGAAAACAAGACAAGGATAGTGAATGATTTTTTAGCAATGTATTGTACCGTACAAATTGCATTTTAGTCCGCATGTCATATTTTCCTAATGTCTTGTACCTTTGACGGTGTTAAACATGGTGTCACGTGGATGGGAATATGCATGGAAATGATATGCAAATTAGGTTATGCATAGTAAAACTAGGCGTTGTAAGCTCCATATATGGTGATTTTGGGGAGGAGATGCATGTACGCACAATCTTCTGCTGACAGGGATAAAAGGATTTTTGCACAGGTTCTGGCGTAACTAGCTTTTGTGCGTCCATACACTTTTAGGATGAAATCTATGGAAAGTTTTATACATGAGGCCCCAGGGCTGGGCAAGTTAACGTGTTATCCCATTAAAGCATTACTTAATTAACACAGACAATTATTTTATCACGCATTAACACAGTTTTTATTATTATTATTTTGAAAGTCCATTACTCATTGGCTCTGAATACACATACAGACAAACCATGGGTCACATGAGGGTGGGATGTTGATCAGTACTGGCTTGGGATGGGCGTCATCACGCGTCTCATCTGGTCTCAACCAATGAGAGCATTTGGGGTGGGCCTAGACTGCAGCAGCGCTCACATGAACGCTCCCAATAAAATTATTTAGGCTAAGCATCAACATTCACAAACCACTGTTCACTATTATTTTTAACTGAAAAGAATGCAACGTGCTCGTAATCACACTTCATAAGTGGGAAATAGGAAGTTTCTGATAGCACATAAAAGCAGCAGGGAAGCGCTCTCGCTCAGCAGTGCCAGCTCAGTGGAGTGCATCTTTTTGTTAACTTTGTGGTTTATTATTTTGAGTCGTTTGGGACGCGGTAACACGGCCCTCTCACAATATATTGCTTTACAGATCTATCACTTTTGCCGCTCAGAAAAGTTAACGCAATCATGCTGCAGGTATCAGAAGTTCGGCGCTCCTGCGCGGTTTGCGCTCACACTACATGCGTACCGTTCCCGAGCCCAACTGAACCAGGCTCTGGCCCACCTCTTCCAACTGAGCCAGGGACGGCTAAATGAACCGCGCCCGAGTGCAGCACGGAGCAATCACACTAATCAAAAAACCGGGCTTTGGGGTCAAACGGGCACGGTTAAGATTGCCTAGTGTGAGTACACCCTTATTCTCCCGCATCACCGCACACACGAGTCTCTACCCGCACTCACCCATCAAGTGTTGTCCCGTGCCGCACCCTGTTGCGTTGGGTCCCGTGATAGTGCAGGTTTCTACTCAGAAGGTGCCTATTATAATGTTATGATCGAGGCTCTGGACTTTGAGCATAACTTGTTTTTCTATAACAAACTATAAAGTATTTTCTATAAAAACGTTAATGCCGTGGCAGTGGCAAATAACTTTGGTTTTATATTTAATTTGATTACATTAATGTTTAAGTTGAGATTTACAATAAATATTTTAACTGCTACTATGTAAAAATAATACTGCTGTAAAAAAGCACCTTATTTGTTTAAAGTGTTTGCAAACCAAATGTTATTGCACTTGTTCATATAGCAGTACTTTTAAATGAAAAAAGTGCACAATACACAACTTTTGAATTCATTATTGAATTTTGTGCACAACAATGCGATTAATCGCAGAAAAAAATAATGAGATTAATCGCGATTAAAAATTGTAATCGTTGCCCAGCACTAATAAATACACACACATGCATGTATATATTTCAGAAAAATGTTATGTTTATATATTAAATACATTTATATATAATATAAATTATATTAATATAAATATATACATGTAAATACATGTAAATATTTTCAAAATATATACTGTATGTGTGTGCATTTATATATACATAATAATTATACACTGTATACACATTATGTAAACATACTTTTATTTTGGATGTGATTAATCATTTGACAGCACTAGTAATATGTTGAGTAGTACTTTTGAGTCTTTGTATGCATGTGTTTGCATTAATTATATATAATCATTTATGCCTCAACCTGTCTTTCTTTCAGTGCAAAGATCCCATCTTGTATGTTCTTTCAATACAACACCCAGCTTGGACCTCCATATTACATCCTTGTTGATACCAACTTTATCAACTTTTCTATTAAGGCCAAATTAGATGTTGTCCAGTCAATGATGGACTGCCTCTATGCTAAATGTAAGTCTCCACATTCTCAGAATTACTTTAATCAGTGCTGATGTGAAAGAGGATGGGTGTTATGGGGCAGTTGTGGCCTAATGGTTAGAAAGTCGGACTTGTAAACCAAAGGCAGCGGGTTCGAGTCTACAATTCCGGGGGAGGATGTACAGCACTCTCTTCTCTCAATAACATGACTGAGGTGCCCTTGAGCAAGGCACTGAACCCCGAACTGCTCCCTGGGCGCTGCAGCAAAAATGGCTGCCCACTGCTCCGGGTGTGTGTTTGTACTTGGATGGGATAAATGCACAGCACAAATTCTGAGTATCAGACACCATACTTGCCTGCATGTCATGTCACTTTCATATATTGGATATATTGATCACTGAGATTCCAGTGCAGCAACATTGAACAAAAATTACGCTGTATTTAATATAGAGTTTACATCATAATCCTGTGGATACAGGGCTGAAAATGGAGGGTTCCTGTTTTTTTTATTTAACAGAAAATTAAAGAGATTTCGATCTTTTATTCACTTGGTAGTTCACAAAAGTTGCACAGTTTCCCTATCACTGCACATTCTCACTAAACCAATCAACAAAGCAGATCACTTCAGGTAAATTAACTGGGATGAACCAAGATTTTAGTCAAAAAGCTGAACAAAAATCTTTATTTTAACATGTCATGAAATGGATAAAACTGTTGGAATTAAATAAAAAAAACTTGATTTTCTGTTATTGAGACGTACTGTATATTGAGTAAACCATAACCATTTCATAACCTCATGTGATGAGGGAGAGGGAGTTAAACTGATTAATAGTCTGAGGTAACCATCAAAACAATAAGATTTCAATAAATTAGTTTCATATTGGGGGGGAGGTTGTCCCCCCTAAAAATATGATTAAAAAACATGCCGTGTATTGTAAATAATGTTTTATTTATACTTTAAATAATTGTGTAAGTAGTAATGCATTAAAATGCTTTTTAAGTTTAGAAACATTTTGAGTCTCCCCCTCCCTTGCCTCCCAGTGCTTTGGTCCAAATGCCTGCTTTTCTCTTTTACATCACCTACACACACACAAGTCTGGTGAGAGAGAACAAAGCCAATAGTTGTGGAACTCCAGTATGTAAGGCTTTCAAGGCTATTTTAGTAACTTCAACATTGGACGAAGTGATTATTTTCTCTTTCATACAGATAATGCCAATGTATTTTTCGACGAGTCACTATGTTGCGTTTTGAGCCCAAAACTAGCCCAAACTAACCACATTTACCGGGGTAAAAATCGCGTTCCTGGGGCTAAAATACACGTTATTGGGGTCGCTTCAACCCGTGGCAAGAGTGATAAAGTAGCACAATTCCACAGGAAAACTGTGGTCTTGACAACACTGTGATGGATAGTAATGTCTACAACGGACATGACCACTATTTTAACGAAATTTACGCCCCTGCCTGTAACCTAATTAGATTTTTATTTAATTTATTTTAGTTTCGTTTAATTATAGTTATAATTATTTTTATTATTTTTATACTTAAAGGGGTCATCGGATGCCCATTTTCCACAAGTTGATATGATTCTTTAGGGTCTTAATGAAAAGTATATAACATACTTTGGTTAAAATTTCTCAATGGTAGTGAAAAAAACACCCTTTTTACCTTTTACAGCGACCCATTTTGGTGCATGTCTCTTTAAATGCTAATGAGCTCTGCTCACCTTCAGTTCTCTGAGGCTGTAAACTAGTGCTGGGCGGCATGACCAAAAATTTATATCACGGTATTTTTCAAAATTATACCGGTTTCACGGTACATGACGGTATTTTTTTTTCATGCATGACCGGGTGTTAACCATATTTTCTACTGATTGAGAGAGGTAATACTGCAATATATTGACTTAGAATGCCCTAATTTACTGTCATGAGTGAATATTGTCAAAAAATACCACTAAATAGTGACTAAACACGACCCCTTTTAATACATGTTAACCAGGAGTCAAAAGGGACACCTTTCAAACAGTGTTGCGTTCCGAACGTTGTTTAAGTGACATATTGTATTGCTGTATTTTAAAAATTCATATCATAACAAAAATTAACACCGGTATTCGGTATAAACGGTATACCGCCCAGCACTACTATAAACTTTAGCTGCATTCGTCACGGAACTTGCTAACTAGCACATTATTAGGAAAGGTGATTTGCAAAGATTCATAAAAAAACTTTATACTCTTCTGTTGGTGAAGCTGGATCACGAATGATTTGCGTAAATACATAGAAGCATTTAGGTAGATCGGGGGGCACATTCCCTTCAAAAACAAAAGTAATCCACTGTGTCTTCAGCGGAGGAGACGTTCTTGACTACACTTGCTCTGGCATTGAAATAATGGCAGACTGTTTACAGCTCACTCAGGGCGGGTCTATGATACAATGCCAGTGTCAGTCAACAATTGTGGGAGGGGCCTGTGCAGAACTACGTAACTCTGCCAAGAATCTGTAAACGGCTTGATCTGAGAAAGGGGTTTTTATTTATGGGGAATGGGGATTTTAATAAAAAAAATTATCATGAAAGGGTGGTTGTGTACACACACTGCCAAGACACATTTCAGTTCAAACAACATGTAAAAGTGAATTTTGTATCCCAGGTGTTACAATTTAACATATTTTGTTAAGTGAAATTAACTTAAATAGTTATAGGTATCATGTGCAGCAGTGAACACTGTGAAGGGACCCTGTGAATCAGAATGCAGCTGAACTTTAGTTTTTTAATGTAATTTAATTATTATTATTATTATTATTATATTAAATATTTTAAAAACCTTGAGCACGGTTCTAAGACGTTGTTCTCTGCCTATATATTTAAAAGGAAGACTGCATCCTGTGTGCAATGCTGTTGCTGACCAGGACTTTAAAGGGGTCATTTGATGTTGCTAAAAAGAACATTATTTTGTGTATTTGGTGTAATGAAATGTGTTTAAGCGGTTTAAGGTTAAAAAAAACTAATTTTTTTCCACACACTGTACATTATTGTTTCTCCTCTATGCCCCGCCTTTCTGAAACGCGTCGATTTTTACAAAGCTCATTGTTCTGAAAAAGCGAGGTGTGCTCTGATTGGCCAGCTATCTAGTGCGTTGTGATTGAACGAATACCTCAAGCATGTGACTGAAATGTTACGCCCCTACCATACTGTGATGCCCTGTCAGTCCGGAGCGACAAGACAAAAACATTAACACACATTATAAACGAGGCATTTGTTACATCCAGTGGGGACATATTTACGGATTATAATGACTTATACTGTCTTTTTACGCATTGCATCGCGCTGCGTAAACATAAAACCATGTCTGCATTTGTGATTGGAGAAATGACAAACAACAAGCGCACTACACTGCTCAACTCGCGTTTGAATCGTCAGTGGCAAATCCTTTAAATATGAAAACATAACGTTACTTACAGTCTGTGAGTCAGAACAGCCGGCATTGTAGTCTACTCTCTCAGGATCAGGAAACAGTCCTCCATAAAATGTGCTGCACACATCTGAATATTTGGGTTGAACTGGAACAGTGTTGTAAATACAACTTAACTACTGATTTCTAGTCGTGTCCTCTTTTGGAAGGCCAAACAAAGTAGTTTCGCTTTTACAACGAACGGGCTAGAGTGAGGAACGGCCGGCGGATTCGACGAAGGAGAGGCCGGTGGGCTTGCGGCAACCACATGTGACGACCCTGGGCTGGACTCCGCTTCGTCCACGGTGAAAGCCGATCCGGCGATCCACAGCGCGAAATTTATGTATTTCTTCAGCGACCAGCACGGATCAGCTCCAAGCATGACAAAGCAAATTTCGTCCTCTTTTGGAAGACCAAACAAAGTAGTTTCGCTTTCACAATGAAACACGCAGCGTCTACACGACATGGCGGCAGCAGCAATACTTCAGCGAGAATAAAAGTTACGCCGCTTTTCTTTGCGTGAACATTTAGGCGGCGTTATGCAAATCTTCCCACATCGTGATGTAGACATGTGGGGGCGTGTTAGAACGAGCCGTTTTAGGTAGGCATGTTGACTCTTAACTTTTATAAAGAATATCCAAGAATGCACCAAGAGCTTGTAACACTTCAAAGAGAAAGAAAAAATTGAAATCGCATCATATGACCCCTTTAAGGGATAGTTCACCTAGAACACAACTTACGTCATTCCACACCTGTATGTTTTTGTTTTGTTTTTTACAAAAATATATATAAAAGTATAATTTTTTTAACTTGTAAGCAAGAAAAACACTTGAAACATTCTTCAAAATATCTTATCTGTTCTACAGAGGAATGAAAGTCATACAGGTCTGGAATGACATGAGTGAGTAAATTATGGTAATTTTCATTTTTAAATGAAAATAAAACAAATAAAACTAGTAATTGGACGTTATCATTCAATGTTGATTTTAAACTGCTGGGCTTGGTGTAAAATTCAAGGCTTATATAATTTGTTGCACGATTATCATGAATGATATAATATTTACTAATACTATTTTTTTTTAATATAGGCTTAGTTGGAAACTATTTTTTTCTATTATTGGGTCTTAGTGGCATCTGCACTGATTACTCATAAAATGTGATCTTGGGTCATATGCATAAAACTTCAGAAATGCTCTTAAGAACAGATCACACCTAAGTGTTGTGTAGAAAAATATAGGCGTTTCGTCCACACGGATCCGGCATTTTGGGAGAGTGAAACCGATATTTTTTTAAACCAGGTCCCAGAGTGGATAAATCTGAAAACGCCGCCCTTGCTTTTTCATGTGGACAGCGAATCCATATATTTTCTGAAACGATGACGTCATCAGCCCACGTCTCGTGACACCGCTACGTCATGTAACCGCAACAAAAACATGAACAAACACTGAATGACTGTCTTTTTATTAGGGATGCACGATATATCGGCCACCATATCGGTATCGGCCCATATCGGCTCATTTTTTCTGTTATCGGTATCGGCCTGATAAGAAAATTTGGCCGATATCTTAAAGCCGATAAATAATGCATTATTTCCTTCAGAGACACTTCAGATGCGCGCTGTTCGTTTGCAGCCTTTTGTGCAATTGTACATTGTAATATTGTGTTTATTTGATGTATATCTGATTTATCTCATATAGAATGCGATTGGTTAAGTTAAAAGAGCGCTTCAGTTTACCAGTGATCATCTTTAGCTCAGCACACGCAGCCCAAACAGCAGTGCACAACATTAATAACTATGATTGGGAATGTCGTGTATATAACATTCTAATGAGAACATTATTATAATAAAACGTTGTGAATTCTTTGGGTTTAGTTGCTGTGTTTCAGCGCGTTGTTATGGGAAGAGCGCATCCACAACAGGATCACACATTCTGACTATAGCATGCAATAACTGCGTCATTTGTCATTTCATATATAAGTTGTAATATTATGTTTATGTTGTATTAATATTAATCTCAGGATGCATTTCCTTGAGTTAAATAAGCTGCCAGCAAAACGCTTCAGTTTACCGTGTTCATTCAGCTCTTCAGCTTCAGCTTGAGCTGCAGCTCAATGGCTGCTATTTAAAACAGTGGTATTAATTTGTTACTTTTTCAAAATCATTGATATATTATTAATAACAACAACCACTTGTATTTTTCTCTTATTATTTTCATCAACAATATGGTTTAGTAATTAAAATCATTTAATTATTGTCCGTGCAGAGGCTATTCCGTTTTATTGATCTATGGCGCATTCATTTTGATTCTTTACATGTGTAATGATGTCCAGTGACTTGTTTGCATTATTTCTGCATTATTTTATTTATTTGTAAGACTTTTTTTATGACTAAATTTGGTAATGGGAGAGTAAAAATATTTTTAAAATGTACACCGTTCAAACTAGGCTGCTTATGTTGAAGTGTTTGGGATGTGGCTTTTAATGATGAGACCTTTTTTGTAATCAGGCTCTCAAAAAGTATATAACAATTTGGATATAGATTTATCGGCCAACATATCGGTTATCGGCTTTCAAAAATAAAGAATAATCGGTTATCGGTATCGGCCAAAATTTTCATATCGGTGCATCCCTACTTTTTATTAACTAACATTAACACAGATTAATAAATGTATTGTTCTATGTTCGTTTGTATACTGCGCGCAAGGTTTATGCACATAGTCCATGTCGTCTTCTCCATTTTTAGTGCATCTCTGTGGCAGAATTACTGCGCCACATACTGGTCTGGCATGTATGACATCGTTTTGTGTCGGTTTTGTGGTTTCGTGTAGTTGTGGTTTCATATTTGTTGAGACGAGGGGGGAAAAAATCGGATAGGGAAAGCTCTGGCTTCGTGTGGACATAGCCTAAATTAACCAGTTGTACATTTGCAAGGGTATGATGTTAATAGTATTAAATTACACCATTCATTTGTTCATGATTTATTACAACACAAAATGGTATTTTAGTAACAGGTTTCTTTGTTGTATAATTTTTGATGAATGAAATGGGAAGGCCAATTTTAATTCCCTGTATGTATTAATATAAATGTTTAAATTTTTACCCTGTCTGAGCGCTGTATGCATAAAGCGCTACACAATCATGTATTCATACAACTTACACAATCTGACTAAACTACTGACGTACATTTGTAGTTTTCAAGCTAATAATTAAGCTAATGTTTTTTTTGTTGTTGTTTCATTCAAGTGTTCCTTGCATAACGGACTGTGTGATGGCTGAGCTTGAGAAATTAGGGATGAAGTTTCGAGTGGCTTTGCGGTAATGCACACTTGCATGACATACATGTAACAGTAACAGTGTCTTGAACACTGGGGATCAAACCAGTATTTGGGGACGGGGCATAATAATAAGCATTTTTATTTAAATGTCCTTTTTTATTTATTTAAATGAAAGATTTAAAGGGAATAATGAAAAGCTGTAAAATCTTGTTTGTAAAATCAAGTTGAACTATTTTCAAATAATAGTTTTATTTTAAAATATGCACACATTCACTCTAAATCACATTCAGTTATGCATTACATGAATCACACCTATATTTTCTATGTAAACCAGAAAAAACTTAACCAAAAAAAACCCATAATACTGTCGGTTGTTTAACATTTCTTTCATAAAACAGTTGGCAAATATTTAATATTTAGCTACTTACATCTTGCACTCTTTTACTGTTAAAACTAAAGTGCTGGGACAACATTAATTCGCAATGTTGTAATTAAAAGGCATTTTTCTATTTAGAGCTCTATCTATCTAGAGTTTTTGAAATGCTGGTAAATCAGCTGCAGCATTTGCTGGCCTAAGTAGTAGTAACTTCAGTTCTACCTTTGTTGCAGTGTGTGCCACTGCAGTGGTTATAAGATTAACTACATTGTGGACAGCAATGTCATTTGCCGTAAATGACATTTGAACAGTTTGTCCAATTTGATAACCTTATAGTTTCAACAGAATTTACAGGTGCATCTCAATAAATTAGAATGTCATGGAAAAGTTCATTTATTCCAGTAATTCAACTCAAATTGCGAAACTCGTGTATTAAATAAATTCAATGCACACAGACTGAAGTAGTTTAAGTCTTTGGTTCTTTTAATTGTGATAATTTTGGCTCACATTTAACAAAAACCCACCAATTCACTATCTCAACAAATTAGAATATGGTGACATGCCAATCAGCTAATCAACTCAAAACACCTGCAAAGGTTTCCTGAGCCTTCAAAATGGCCTCTCAGTTTGGTTCACTAGGCTACACAATCATGGGGAAGACTGCTGATCTGACAGTTGTCCAGAAGACAATCATTGACACCCTTCACAAGGAGCCACAAACATTCATTGCCAAAGAAGCGGGCTGTTCACAGAGTGCTGTATCCAAGCATTTGCGTTTAATCATTTAGAAGATGCTTTTTTCCTAAGTGACTTACAAATGAGGACAATAGAAGCAATCTGTTATAATTTCTGTTCTGATTTATGAATGGCAGACATCCCACTTTTCCTGCAGTGTCTGGCATATTTATAGCAGCTCTCTGACACCCACAAATTCTATGCAAAATCCCAGAAATTGAGTGAGAGAGAGAGAAGCCCTGTTTCCAGGGTATTAAAGTGTATTTTTGGTCATTTCATCAAAAGTTGTCAGCATCTGGAATGTTAACGGTGTACATAAAAGATAGAAAGCTGTTGTGTATGTGAATAGTAGATGTGGTACATTTACCAGAGATGTTAAAATTGGCATTTCACTGTGGTTTTAACAGGTTTTATGTTTGAAAGTGGCTACACTTTCTTCCTTGGTTTTTATGCTGATTTGAGCTTTATTTGTAGGATTGAAAAAGATTCCCGCTTTGATCGATTACCTTGCTCACACAAAGGAACGTATGCTGATGACTGCTTGGTGCAAAGAGTAATGCAGGTATGAGAACTTTGTAATCTGTGGGGTTATAATTGTTTACCTTTACTGAGATGGCAGCATCATTATTTGTAACAATTTTCACCTGAGATTTGGAACCAAATTACATACAGCAATTTGAGTTGCATTATATTCCAATTGTGACAGTGGGTAAAAAAAATGGGTAAAAGCACTTTGATTATATTTTTTCCCCCCAAAATGTATTAAAGATATCTTAATATCCTTGTAGATTTTGGTTCTTAGATCTTTTTCTGCTTCATTTGAAGGCCCTATATGGTTCCAGAGATATAACGGAATCATAGTGTTGCTCCAAGAATTTGTTAAATTGTACACATTTTCAGTGGTCAAAAACCAAATGTGGGTCATTTTGCATACAGATGATACTTTTTTCTTTTAAAGATAAACAACTGAACTTCAGTTAATTCAGGGTGCCCATTTGGCCAATTATAATCTAATCTTTAAGAGATATAACCGTAAAACCTTTTGTGTTCAGGTCCAATTTTGACCCGAGTATCAACTGAGTCTTCACACATAATGTTGTTCAGACTTTTTTGATCAGTGAGATAATTTACAGTTATACACCGGTAGATGTTTTTTTGTTGTTGGAATTAAAAAAAAATTTTTTTGCAATGTGCTAAAAGTATACATTTGATAAATTCATGCATTCCCTGGGAATCGAACCCATGATCTTGGCGTTACTCTACAGAACCTACAGGAATGTGACTTCTCTCAAAAAATTATCTTCTTTTCCATGTCTCTCACACACTTTTGGGACTGAATTTTGTTGATAAACATGAATATGCACACCTATTGATGATAATTTTTTTCATGGTTCAGTTTAATAAAAAAAGACGCTAAAATGTTGTAAAAACACTAGCATTCAAAACTTTTAAATAATTGCATATTCACTAATTAATTAGAAGTTACTGATCAGATACAATATGACTATAGTTAAGAAATATGACTGTTTAATAAGCTTTCATTCCACCAGGTCCAAATGGACCCAGGAATGCAAAAGTCGAATGCAGATTTTGAATGCATTATGAAGGTTAAAGCACAGAAAATGTAGAGGGTTCACAAAAGCAAGCAAGCAATCAAACAAACAAACAAATAAATTAAATGAGATTCTCAAATATACAGTATATTAGGAGTAAAAATCAAGTAAATTCACAAATCAATAAAATGAGACTATGAAACAATTCCAATCTCAGAGCTGATACCCTTTACATTGTGACTAAAGCATTCCCATTTGTTTCATTAGCACAAATGTTACATTGTGGCCACGGTGGACAGGGACCTAAAAAGGAGGATTCGGAAGATCCCAGGAGTCCCCATCATGTACATCTCCAATCACAGGTACTCAAGCTCTCTTTGCTAAGTCTTACCTTAAAGGCACAATATGTAATTTTTTGCCACTGGAGGGCGCGTATTCAAAACCAACAAAGAGACAAAGGCGTAGTTTGACGACGCCGTGACTGAGTGTGGAATCATGGGAGTTGTCGTCTTCATCCCCACAGCCGAAGCAATCCGATGGGACTCGGGCAGAAATCATGTTCATGGATAAGCTAATGTATTAAAGATTTATTAACGTCGTAGTATGAAGGAGGCTGAAAGCCATCAAAACGAAATAAGGGCGCTGAACGAGCGCGACACACGGCTCGAAAGCAGCGGAGCTTTTATTATGCCACAGTCAACCGCTTCCTCTCCTTCCGGTCGTGCATATTTGGGGTAAAGCAGCGTGGTTTTATCATACTAGGTACATTTGAAAGTTCTGTTATAATTCTACTCTGTGTGGTCATCACCTGTCTAATAAAATGCGTAGCATATTAAAGCGTCTTTGGTGTTTCCACGTTTTCTACAAAACAAAACCGGAAATCGAGGTGTATGATGACATTGGCAGGCGACACAATGACACTATAGACACGGTCCGTGTCACTAGTTAAAATTGCTTATTTCTCTGGATTTAAACATTCTTCGAAACATTTGGGATAATGTAAGTACACAAGTCAGCAAAATATATAATACTGTTCTAGTGGTGTTTGGATATTTTAATAAAAAAATCTTACATATTGTGCCTTTAATGTTACTGAGGAGTGGGTCTGGGGGGTTTGCCTTATCAACTGGTGAGTGCAAGTAAGAAGGTTCTGTGCAAACTCCAGAATTTGACTGAAGTCAGATGCTTTCTGCTTCCCGTAGTGATGATCTGGCAGTGTTTGTGTATTTTTTCATAGATTGAGTGGATTAGATACAATATTTGTTAGACATTTCGAACCTTTTTTAACTTGCAACAAACACTTTTCGTTCAAAATTTTAAGTACTGCTTAATACATCACCTGTATATAGATGAATAAAGTTTAACATAGGCCAGAACTATTAATATAACATTAAAATGACATTTTATTTTAGTTTTGTATTAGGGATGCATGAAATGAGTTAGTTCTATTATAAAAACAGATTTGAGAGCAATACCGGAAATAAAGTTGTCAGAATAACATGAAACACACATGGTCCCTCTGGAGAAGCTGTGTAGATTGAGGCAGCCAACTGCTCTCAAATCGCTCTTACAATACTTTGATGGCATACATTAGAGTGACATGGCATTGCCACCATCTCAATTCGGACAAAAATTCTAACTGGCGTGCACTGCTTCAAGTCCGACCGATTGATTGAAATTGTCGACTGATTATTGTAACAGAAGAATATTATCTTGTCACCTGTGTAAATTAATATAACTGTTATAATATTTTTTTTCAGGTATAACATTGAGAGGATGCCAGATGATTATGGCGCACCATGGATGTGCTGTTTGTTTGTTTGTTTTTCTTTTTTTGTAAGAATTTGTTTGGTGGATAAGTGGGGGACCTTCTACATTTAAAAGATTTCCCCTGTGAATTATGTTCAGAACTCAGTACAGTAAAGTTTTTGGCATTCAGAGTACATCAGAGGAAATTAAAAGGTGGAGAAAATATAGGAGGAAAATGATCTGCAACCAATGAAAATGACTAACCCAAATCTAAATGACTAGTCCAAATCTAGTGGCTGTTGTGGGAAACTTCAGTGATCTAGGACGTCCTCTTCTTGATATGAATGTGTTATTGATTTTAATTATTTGGTGTCTCCCATCAATGATATTGATTTAATCAAACATTAAATTGGCCTAGTAGTCTTTAACTATTGCAATATGTTAACAGCTCACCAATGCAGTTTTAAATAATAATGAACCTTTCCCCTGAAGCCACTCCCTGGCACTCTTTTATGTTCAGAGAATCTTAGGATTTTTTTTTTTTTTTGTCTTTATCTTAACAATGACATCTCTGTGAGTTGTTTACACATCTGGTTGGATCCCTTCTGCTTGGAGGCTGTCATAAATAAAAATCCCCATAGATACATTTATCAGTATCCTTGCTTATGTCAAATTATTATGTTGTTTGCCAATTATTATTGTTAATTATCTTTGGCTTCTTGTGGCTATAACCATATTTACGTTCTGCAGTGCTACACACAGGATGACTTGAATGCAATTAAATGTAAAATAGGCTACTGGGACAAGGTACTGGCTAAATAAATTTGTTTTTATTATCTTGCTTGTGCTGTTCTAAGGAATGATTTATGCCTGTCTTAAAATCACAACATTTCCATAGGTGTGCCAAGCAGTATCTGTAAAATTATCACAAAGGTAGGACTAACTGAGCATTGAATTTCTCAGACCACATTGCTAAAACTGCAGATTTGCTTTATACAACATTAGGAAGATCAGGCTCTTTCTTTCAGAACATGCAACACAACTCCTTGTTCAAGCTCTTGTTCTGTCCAGGCTGGACTATTGCAGTGCTCTCTTGGCAGGTCTTCCAGCCACTTCTATCAAACCTCTACAATTAATCCAAAATGCTGCTGCAAGATTAATCTTTAATGAGCTGAAAAGAACGCACGTCACACCTCTGTTCATCAATTTACACTGGCTACCAATAGCTGCTTGCATAAAATTCAAGGCACTGTTTGCCTACAAAACCACCACTGGCTCTGCACCCCTTTACCTAAATTTATTATGTCAGACTTATGTGCCCTCTAGAAGCTTGCGTTCTGCAAGTGATTATCGCTATATTGTGCCATCCCAAAGAGGCACAAAATCACTTTCACTGACGTTTTCATTAACTGTTCCCTCCTGGTGGAATGATCTGCCCAACTGAATCCGAGCAGCTCAGTCTTCAGCCATCTTCAAGAAAGGGCTAAAAACACATCTCTTCCATCTTTATTTGACCCTCTAACTCTAGCACTCTCTATTCTAATTCTATTTTATCTATTTGTTTTTATTTTTTTTTATTTAAAAAAACAACAAAAAAACACTTGACCCTCTATCACTTGCACTCTCTATTCATTTTATAACTGCTTGTTTTTCTTTTTTTTTTAAACTCTTAACACTAGCTTTCTATATCCAGTCAGGAAGTGGTCTATAAATGAGGTTAGGATAAATCGATTAAATTGATCATTTAAATCTCAAATCATGATCATGTGTCGTCACACAAAAATTGTCACATTTCTGTCTTAATTCACACTTTCTGGCCTTAAAAAGGTATTCAATTGGAGCAGAAAGTTTTAAGTCATGGCATTAAATTGCATGAGGGATTGTTTTCTTGTTGCAATTAATTTTAAAGTGAAGAGAAGGCATAATATCTCTGTGGCTTAAATTAGTGACATTTATGTGCTGATTCATCTGCCAGTAACCATAGAAAGATGTGCAGATGCACCTTTTCTGAATCTTGCAGTTTGGAGTTAGATTGGATAAATGTTTGTTCCAGCCTAAGTGTCTCCAAAAGAAAAAAAAACTAATTGAGTAAGTTTGTTGATTTTGACTGTAGTTTGTGGTCACCATTATTAATGACAACAAATAGTTTGTTAGAACTGCTGTTTCAATTTCAGATTTATAGAAGAATACTTGAATTCATGCAAAATGCATTTGCAGTGCTGCTTTTGTTAGTTTTGTCGATGTGTTTAGTAAATGGTTCACCAGCTTTTTTCGCTCAGAAATTGCTAGTGAATCCTTTAATTATTAAGGAATTATCAGTAACATTGAATTGAACATCAAATGTTGAAGTCGAAGGAATAAAATAATATGTTCTAATAAACCATGTATTTGAATCCATAGCTCAAGTGGAACGGCAGTCTCATAAAGGGATATAGCTGACGGGTCTGATCAGAAACATAAGTTAGTGGTTAGGAGCAGAGATATTCAAGCCATCATTTTTGTAAAACAATTTAAAGTAATGGTGATCTGTTGAAAGTTGTTTTTCATCATGTGCTCCCGATAGGCAAAATGTTGATGTATTGTGTTCACTTAAATTTGTTCTCTAAAGGAAGCAGAACAATAAATTTACAAAGTAGCACAAAAGCTAGACCAAAGGCTTCAAATAAACTGCAGTGTTGAAAATCCAGTAGCATAAAATAGAAAAGAGAACATGTGCATTTCTTGGAATATGTCTGCATGTTGCCATTGTCATTTCCTACAATCTCAGTTTGTTATTTATGTGACTCTCCATCTGGCATTGAAAATATTGAATTACCTTTGCATAAGGCATGAAACTGCACAGTCCAAACCAAGGTCTTGTGGATTTGCTGCAGATGGAAAGATTGAGAGATAGTGAAGGCAAAGCAAACATTCAACCTTGACACTTGATACGGTGTTTATAGAAGAGATTAAGGACAGCATTAATTACAGGATAATTTATGTGTCCGTAAATCATGTAACAATCTGAAGGTTTGAATTTAAACAAAAAAACAGCAGAGCAAATTTTTCTGTACAAACTGGGTGGGTTTTTTTTCCAGTCAACAATGTAAACGATAAAAGTCAGATATCTCAAAGACAAAATATTGTTCATTGAAACTACAGTACATATTCAGTCCTTTACTTCATTTACCTAATGGATTACAAGGTCAGCAAGGGAACAGTCACACACTTGGTCATGCACACACACACAAAACGGGGCAGACGTAAGCAAGGTATAAAAGGTAGCTATACCTATTTCTGAGAAGACAGATTGATCACATCTCGCAGGAAGTCAAGAACAAAGGTAATTTTTCAAATGAAATATTTATGAGCTTAAAGAATACATTTAAAATGTACAAATGTAGCAAACTGTACAAAGAGTGGTCTGTGTACATATTTGTATTTTGAAAATATGAGTGCAGTTGTGTAGCCTAATGTATGTACACTTTAGCTTTTTTTCTTCTATTATAGTCATCATGTTTTGGACAAGATATGCTGGAGCAAGTATATTATTGTTTTTTATGCTTATTCGTCTTGGACAACTGTATCCAAGAAATTATATGAATAACTGTAAGTTGCTAACCAATGATTAAATTTTGATACTTCAAATGGGACCATTTCCTTTACTATTATATTTCTATTTTATACAAGTTGGATGTGAGGAGTGCAAACTCAAGGAGAACAACATTTTCTCAAAACCTGGAGCTCCTGTCTATCAGTGTATGGGATGCTGCTTTTCTAGGGCTTACCCCACACCCCTGAGGTCCAAGAAAACCATGCTTGTTCCAAAAAATATCACATCAGAAGCTACATGCTGTGTAGCCAAAGAAGTTAAACGGGTAAAATGAGCATTAATAACCGCTATTGCTGTAATATTATATTATTTTACTCTTGAGTATATAACAAATATTGTTTTTGTATTTATTTGTAGGTGCTTGTCAATGATGTCAAACTAGTGAACCATACAGACTGCCACTGCAGCACCTGCTACTATCATAAGTCTTAAAAAAAACATTGTGACATTCAAGATTTGCTTGTTTGCCTAAAACTGGTTATATTCCCGTCTACCTGTCATTTTACGCCACTTATTAGAATTTTGTTAGCTGTGCATATTTACTTTTCTACCATGAAAATTGTCAAGGCTGGGTGTTTTTTCCACCACTTCTTTTCCAAAAGGTTGCAATCATTATTGCAACCAACATTTTAAGAGCACAGAATGGGATATTTTATCACTAATAAAATGCAAGAAAACACCGTCACTGCACTCTGCTTGTTATTAGTTTAAGCCCTCTTTTGCTGGTAATTGCTCACTTATTTTGTCATCTTACTCAAATCCATATATTAAATTTAAAATATGATTGCTTGTGACATGCTTTGTTTCTTCTTTTCTCCATCACTTTTATCCTTTGTATGGATTGAGGGTGATTGAAAGTCCTACACGCAAAAGTTTCAAAGTGGGTTTTCGCATTGATTAAAGCCTTAGAAGAACCGTTTTGGAAGAATAATTTTCAGTAAATAGTTCTTATAAGAAGCATTTTTTTCTCTCAGTCTAAAGAACATTTTAATCAAAACCCATGAAAAAGACTTGAACCTGATGACATAAAGGAACATTCTCCCACATATGCTGAGAGAAACGCAGCATCCTACACGCAAAAGTTTCAAAGTGGGTTTTCGCATTGATTAAAGCCTTAGAAGAACCGTTTTGGAAGAATAATTTTCAGTAAATAGTTCTTATAAGAAGCATTTTTTTCTCAGTCTAAAGAACATTTTAATCAAAACCCATGAAAAAGACTTGAACCTGATGACATAAAGGAACATTCTCCCACATATGCTGAGAGAAACGCAGCAAATATGCAAAGCTGGATTGTGATGTCCTCAGTGTTGCCAACTAATTTTCAGAGAAAGTTGCTAAAGAAAGGTCGATTTGTTGCTAAAAGTTGCTAAATGACGTTGTGATGTCATTGCGTAATCACGACGCAAAATTGTCACATCATCAAACCTCAGCAAAAATATATATTTTATATATGTTAATTTAGATTAGTTTTTCAAATAATATGCATGATATATTAAAATATAAATAACTGTATTTTTTAAATACATTGAATTATTGAAAACGTACACATTTTTAAATTATTACAATTTAAGTTTTTTTAGTAGCTAGTAAACTCTCAACAATTATGCTTTAAGCAGTGTATTAGTAGTTAATTAGTATGCTACACTAGCAGACTAGAAAAGTCTGTAAAAAATAAGGCACAATCTACTGTTAATATGAAAGAATTTTCTGTAATGTTTTTTTTTTACCTGTATTTTAAATTACGTATTGTGTTTTCGGGTTACAGGGTTACAAAGGATGATGGATAATGTCCTGAAAGATTTTCCATTTTTCTTACAGTGTACTTACTAACTGATCAACAATCGCAGGTGCAAGCTACTAACAAAGTGTATCATAAATGAACAATTATTCAATTATAAAATTATTCAATTATTATTATTATTAAATTGAACAATTGCAAATAGCAGCTAACGCAATTCTCGTGGTGTGTGTACTGCTAGGCATCTGTGGTTTCCTCTTTTTGTGTAATTTGGATGGACAATGTGTGCCTTTTTATTGTCTGAGTCCTTATCAAAAGTT